ATTTCTATTGAAATTTACTTTATTGTTTTTCTGAAGAATATTGAGGACAATGAAACTGTTTTATGAAATGGTTGATATTGTTATATTGTCTTCATAAACATGTAAAGTAAGTGAACAACAGTTAAGCCTGTACCCTACGTTAATTTTTATTTCACTCTTTTAATTCGTCTGCTCAATAGAAATTGAGTTATTATCCAATTTTACCGTAGTTTATACATCCAAATTTCATACGCGGGTTATCTTGAAGTGGACTCCAACTTTTTCCGCTCATTTATCAGTTTATATCTGTTCAGAGGCGTAGTGGAGTGGGAATGCACGGGCACGGCATACTTTTTGTTTTTCTTTTTTTAGTCGGAACGCCGTTCCGCCACTATTTTGAACGAATCCCACCTTACACGGTTAAACGCATTACGGCACTTCTTCGTTTATCAGTACACCACTGCATCTGTTATGGATCAGCTAATCACCAAGGTTTGGTTTAAGCATGCACAACACATAAAAAGATACTTGAAGGTTTTGTTCTTGGTTTAATAGTATCATGACAAAAATCACTAACACCCATAAACCAAAATGAATTGTGTCGAACTTGACCTAGTGGTTTGTGTACTCGGACTGTTAATCTGGGGATTCGTAGACCGCAGAAACGCTCTTCGTACTTTGAGGCCGTGGGTGTACTATAAGAAGGATGATCAAATCCCACTATACAGTTAGGCAAGAGTAGTCCAAGAGTTGGCTAACTGCATTTCTTCTAATCTGTCAATTCGAAATTACGGATAACTATGCGAAGATAGCTTTGTATAGCTTTGCGCGAAAATTCTAAAACAAACCAAAAGGAGTTGATACCATCAGTTAAAGATAGAGTTCTTAAAGCTTCGCTTTTGACGATATTTTCAGTCGTAAAACCGAATGATATCTCCTGAGGCCTAACTTCTTGAGCAAACGCATAATATCTAGGTTTTCTAGAAAATCACGAAGAATTTGGGATTAGAAATGAATTTTTAAACTGAACAACATATTAAGTACCACGGGAAATTAACGGCTCTTTCAGAGACCCCCTAATTTTGAACTACTAACCAGAGGGAAGTTAACCAGCCAGCAACACCCGCCTCTAAGAAAGCTTTGTTCTGTTCTTGGAACCAAATAACGACATTAACTGTTGTTTCTATAACGTGCCCATAGCTGCAAATGCGGAACATGTTCAGTGGCATAACGTCTCAAACTCTGGACTCTTCGATCCCCAGCCCGACAAACAAACCATAGGTCATGTCTTGTCATGAAGAGCCTGAATTGTTGATAAATCAAACTGTATTTCATTTTCATCAGTTAACAATGCTAGTTGAACTTTTTTTTTCTTTGCCTTTGAAGACTTCGGTTTGCGTTTTTTTCTATATACGTGAAAGTCTCTAACTTTGTTTTCAAATTCTGGTACTAAAGTTGGAATAAAAGCTATCGCTCACATAAAATTTCGCTGAATCTGCAGACACATAGAGTAGGCATAATTTCATATTACATAATAACGTAACCCTAAAGTTATGCTGACGAATCCCATTACGAGAAAGATGATCTAAGCTATCCGGAGGATCATAATGTTATAGTTTATGTTATTCATGACACACCAAACTATAGTGGGTCGTATATTCAGTCTGGCTTTAATAAGAGCCTGCTGCATACAGATCAAAATGTTTTTTGTTTGTTTTTTTTTTTGAATAGAGGAAAGGTTGACATTCTCAAACAAGATTTGAACGTTCACGACAAAAAGCATATAATTTTATGTGTGCTTCTACGAAGTGCTAAACCGCTTACAAGCTGTTCAGTTTGCCAGCTAAGCCATAAACATCACGAACAATAAACTATTTGACAAATGTAGAAGTTACATTCCTTCAGAATAAAATGTAAGGGATGTACGTTTACTTCTACCAAGCGATGTATATTAACTCTAAAATGTAGTTGCTCAAACAAATATGGATTAATGACTGTTGACATAAGAAGTTGTATAAAACGATCAACTCGTTTATATAATTTAGTGTACTTAAAAAGTCGAAAACTAAAAAGGGTTTCTCGGGGCGTGGGAGTAATATTACATACTTTTTATATTGTAGTCTCAGTTAACTTATTTAACGCCTTAATCGTCTTACAGATGACAGGATTTTCACGTAGGATATGTGTATAATTTAATAAACATTACGTCATCCAATCACGCTCGCCCTAATGTTTATGATATTCAGTAGTACATGTTTTGATGATAAACATTGCTTGTATTGAGGTGTTTTATTGAACAGAAATAGCAAGGCAGAAAAAAATAATTTATCAGACCATTTACGCTAGTCTTAACTGCAATCATACACTCTTCACCCCAAATCCCCTGTGTGGCATGTAATTACTTTCTATCTTCAAAGTTCCTAGATTGCATGCTTCTCCTCTCGCCTTAGCATTCAGTATTTAGAATTGCTATATTATTGGAAATAGTTAGGACTGTTGTATTACTGGGAGTAGTTAGAATTGTTATATTATAATTGCTGTATTACTGGGAGTAGTTAGAATTGTTATATTATAATTGTTATATTACTGGGAGTAGTTAGAATTGTTATATTACGAGTAGATAGAACTGTTGTATTACTGGGAGTAGCTACAATTGTTATATTACTGGGAATAGTTAGAATTGTTATATTATAATTGTTATATTACGAGTAGATAGAACTATTGTATTACTGGGAGTAGTTACAATTGTTATATTATAATTGCTGTATTACTGGGAGTAGTTAGAATTGTTATATTATAATTGTTATATTACGAGTAGATAGAACTGTTGTATTACTGGGAGTAGTTACAATTGTTATATTATAATTGCTGTATTACTGGGAGTAGTTAGAATTGTTATATTACCAGTAGATAGAACTGTTGTATTACCGGGAGTAGTTACAATTGTTATATTACCAGTAGATAGAACTGTTGTATTACCGAGAGTAGTTAGAATTGTTATATTACCAGTAGATAGAATTGTTGTATTACCGGGAGTAATAATATTTGTGTGTTACCAGTACAAGTTAGAATTCTTGTATTACCTGAAATAGGCAGATCGTTATATTGATTGACAAGAATACTTACAATTTCTATATTAACAGTGGTAGGTTGACCTGTTATAAGGGAGTAGTTAGATTGTTTGTTTGAAGTCAAGTACAAAGTTACACAATGGGCTATCTGTGCTCTGTCCACCACGGGTATCGAAACCCGGTTTCTTGCGTTGTAAGTCCGCAGACATACCGCTGTGCCACTAGGAGGCGAATAGTTAGAACTGGTATATTAACAGAAATAGTTGAATTTATTACCGAAAGTAAATAGAACCGCTGTGTTAGCTGGAATATTTAGAATTGTTATATTACCAGGAATAGTTAGAGTTGTCATATTATCGGAAGTAATTATAACTGCTATTTTAGCGGGAGTAATTACAATTGTTATATTACCGGAAGTAGTTAGAGTTGGTGTATATTCGGGAGTGGTTGGAATTGTTGTATTACCGAGAGTAATTAAAATTAATATGTTGCCGAGACGAATTAGAATGGTTATATTACTGGAAATACTTAATAATTGTTATATTACCTGAACAGTTAATATTTTTAGAATATTAAATATAGACAACAATTAATAAATTACTATAAGTAATTAAACATTGTTACATTACTTCTACTCATAATTTTTATGTTACCAGAAGTGGTTAGCTTAATAAATGTTATATTACCAACAGCTGATAAAATACGGGGAGTAGTCAATATTTTTTTAATAAAGAAAACAGTGACTTACTAACTTGAGTGCTTGATAAATAATTTCTTAAAGCGAAAACAAATAAGTTTCACTTGTGCAAGAAGTTGATCATCATCATTAATACATGTCGAAATTCACGTTCGTCACGTTATTTTGTTTCAGAATATAGCGCAAAGATACACGAGGGCGTTCAACGCATGGCTGTCGTTAATTTTGGATTGATAGACTCGAGAGAAGGCAGCTAGACAACGGCAACCACCGCCAACTCGTAGGCTACTCCAATCAAATAGTGGGATCTGACAGTCACTCTTATAACGCACCAAAGACTTCAAAGTGCAGAACGCGTTTTTGTGGTAATGAGTCGCGAACCATGATTTTTCGGATTCATAGTCTGGGCAGGCTAATCAGTAGGCAACATCCGACCCGTTTCATTTTGTAAATAACTGATTCTAATTCATTATTCTAGCACAGTGGTATGTCTGCGGATTTACGACGCTAGAAACCGTGGTGGGCAGAGCAAAGACAGTCCATTGTGTAGCTTTGTGCTTAATCACAAAAACAAAAACAAATCATTATTCTACTGGGTTAGAAAATACACAAACTTTTTTTCAATAAAGAACATCGTTAATTGGTTGTCCTTCGTACTGCCATGTTTCAAAGATCAGTTCGAGTCAAGATATTTTGGTGTTAAGATCTTTTATAATTATTGCATGTCAGAAGTAAAAATAATAATGTTATGAAAGGATTTAAGTTGAAACAATCACATACATATATATATATATATATATAACAAAAAACATATTTAGCTAACGGCGAGTTTATTTGAACGAGATCTCTTAAAAAACAAAAAAAACAACAACAAGAAACTAAAAAATAAAAATAGAACATCTAGGAGAATATAGCAGTTTTTTACACAAGCACAATATTCCAAATGATCCCTTAAGTCAACTGTCCACAGTTTATACAGGAAAGTAAGAATAGTTTTTTATCAAAACAGTCTTGATTATCCAGTGTCTCACAATATGTTCACCACGAACATAATCCTATGTAAGTTCTGTGGTGTGAACAATGTAATACACGCACAACTATGACGAATTGAAAATAAGAAGAAATGTAAACGTTTCTAATAGCTTGTTTGGTGTTGAATAAAAGCAAAGAAATTTAACAAAGGCTCCTCACTCTTTAGCAAAGAGACTCACGAACTCATGTATCCTTATATATATATATATATAGTATTTTATGGATAATTTGTCACTTATTAGTGTATTTGCAATAAAAGTTAACAACGAAGTTTGCGTAGAGAAACTGTCAAAGGCAGTAATTTGGAGAGAACTGTTACATTTAATTTTTTATACCTATTAGGCTTAGCATACGTGCACGGTTGAATATAGTGTGAGCATATAATAATAGAAACTTAAATTCAAGCGATGTTGAGGTTAGTCAAAATTGTTTTTGTATTTTGAAATAAATATTTTTTCCCCATATTTCGAGATTTTATTGTAGCTTGATTGATCAGTCCTCTTTAAAGGTGTATTTAAAGGCTTTCAACATGGGTTGTGCCAAACTCTCGTGTATTTGTATTTTAGGTTTGTTATTTGTTGTTTTCTCTTCTCTCAAGGCACTTTCTAGATCATGAAAAGAATTCTAATTTTAATTGCCTCCGTGTTTGTTCTCCATTTTTCAGGTAATGTTATTACGGGACTTGTTTTTTTCTTCTGTTGCACTATCACCTGTATCTATGGTAGCAACAAAGCCTAGATGTTTTTCGTCATTGTACCCACCAATCAAATCTGCTTCTAACGCACTTTCGTACACGACATAGTCGTCACAGCGTTCCTCCTCGTGAGTATAGTAAACAGCTCTATGCCTCCTGTAAAGAACCAAATAGATGACACCTACGAGCAAGATAATTATGAAGACGGCAGTAGCCACTATTATTCCTAAACGAGAGCCTGCAGTGAGAATACGAAACTGACTAAACGGCCCTCCACATGGTGGTATGTCTCGACTACGCAGCGCTGGAAGTTCCTTCCCCGCCAAGATTCTTGGGCTGTCACAAACTATGCAGTCGTGGTAGTTCTTACACACTTTGGCCTTGTTAGTTGTCTCTGCTATCCAATGAAAGAGCGGAAGAATGTGGCATTCATTACAGGCCCATGGATTCGAGTGTAGAACTATTCTCTTTAGGTTAAGAAGTAGAGAAAGATGATCCAGTTCTTCCTGTGTCAGTCCTTGGAATCGGTTTCCTGAGAGATCTAATACTTCCAGTTTGCTCATTGGTCTCAATACCTTGAAACTTAAGGAGTTAAAATGATTCTGAGACAAATCAAGATATCTCAGGTCTCTATTGGAAACAAAAATGCTTGGAGGGAGAGTAGTAAGCTTCATTCCACTAAGTGAAACTCCACGGAGACGGTGGAGTGGCTCCAGAACCTCCATTATGTTCTCCATGGTGATCTTGTTAAATCCAATGTCCAATGTCTGTAGGGTGAAAATTATGGGCTTGAGAGTGTCAATCATGAGGGTAGAAAACTGATTGTCGGAAACGTTCAACGCTCTGATACTAGAGTTACAGAACGCACATACATCAAAACTAACAATGTTGTTCCTGGAAAGACCAAGATAATCAAAGATTTGTCCACTGAACGCCATATCGACGATCACATTTAAATTGTTACCGTCAAGATAAAGCTTTCGCAATTTCTTCAAGTGGCGAAATTCTTCTGGAGCAAAATAGTTGAAAGAGTTATCTCTGAGGTCTAACTCCACAAGGTTAGGCAGTTGTTGATAAATCAGAGAATGAAGTCGTTCAATTTGACATTTGGCTAAACTAAGACTCTTTATTGGCCTCAGGTCCTTCAGGTTTTCTGGATCAACATTCCGAAGCGGATTGCCACTGAGATCCAGGCGTTCCAAATTCCCCAACATGTAAAAGAAGCGAGGTACGAGTCTTCTTAACGAGTTTCTTGCCAGCGACAATGTTTTCAAGTTGGAGAGAAAATGGAAAGGGGCAGAAGGAAACGCAGAAATCAAATTATTGCTGAGGTCCAGAACTTGGAGGTTTTTCAAACCGTTGAAATCAGTATCGTGCAACTGAGTGATGTTGTTGTGACTCAAGTTGAGGATTCGGAGGTTGTTGCCAGGCCAGAAAGAACTATCTCCAATAGCTGGAACATTAGAATGCGTGATATGAATTTCTTCTAAAGAGAAGAAGTTCAGGAAAATTCGACCGATGGTCAGATTATTAGGAATGTCCCTGGAAGCGGTCACGATTAAAACTTGTATGTCCCTGTCCATTTCCGTTATGGGGATTTGCATCATTCCCCCATGATTACAAGTCACAATCTTCCGAGTTTTTAAGACGTCACACTTACATATATCAGGACATTTGGAGTAACATAAGCCTGCGATAAACAATAGGAAAATAGTCCACGGCCAAAGCAGAACAGCTGCCATATTTTCTTGAGAGATTCTTCTTAATCTCCTTATCTGGAACAAATTATAAATATATTTTAATATCGTAGTTTTCTAACGGAAAAAATACATAGATAATTCACGTAAAAAGTATATTAAAACACTCGTATTCACTTATCAAATTACAATAACGACTCTGATTATTCGTTATTTTAAAAACTAATAACTCACATACAAATTAGGACTAAAACACTCGTATTTAGTTATCAACTGACTCTAGTAACTCTGATTATTCTTCAGTATCAGTATTAACAGAAGATAGTCACACCTCCGTTACGATCATTTACAGTGTGTTCAACTATTTAGACTAAAGGGTGAGGTCTTGCGTCCGACATCACTAAGTATCCAATCGCTAAAATTAGTTAAGCTTTGCAATTGGATTAAACTATTCTATGAACATAATACCTCCAAATCAATTTAAATCTATATATTGTTCAGCAATAAATGGCCACAAATGGAGTGATGTTTAATTGAAGTCTGAGCGACCATCTTTAAAAATAATATTTTTATGATATATTTATCCTAAAGTTTCTGTATCTCTTGTCAAATTTGAAAAGAACTTGTACTGTCCAAAAAACTTAATATTTTAAAAGATGTGTAGATTTAGCTGAAATTCCCATTAAATATCATATTTATGAATTTCAATCACTGCAGAATTTCTAGATTTTTCTTGAAATTTGAGCTTCTAAAATCAATTTGATGTTTTACTGAAATTCCTAAGTTCTGATGACGTAGAGGTTCTCAAGTAAGCTTAATACACTTGATTTTGATTCAGTATGTTTTTCATATATATACAAGAATCACACTGAAATCAGTTCTGCATCAAAAACCTGAAATCGTTTGGATCCACAACTTATTTCTGCCTTATTTAAATATCCTGATTGTATTACAAAAAAAAAAGACACAAGAGACACTGTCTTGTTATGGTATCCTTTAGAATATGTATATACATTCAGTTTCGTTAGTCTAAAACTTAAATTTTTAAATTTTCCGGGTAACTGTTCCTTTCAATTTATTGATCTTAAGTAAGTAAAGAAAAGTAACTTCCCTGTCAAGCTTACTGACGGTCTAAAGCATCTATCAAGGCATGATTGCCTCTTAGGCACATTTTAATATTGTGATCAAACTATTCAGATACCACTCCTTCACTCTTGGGCCCGGCATGGCCAGGTGGTTAGGGTAATCGACTCGCAATCTGCGGGTCGCGGGTTCGAATCCCCGTCACACCAAACATGCTCGCCCTTTCCGCCGTTATAATGTGACGGTCAATCCCACTATTCGTTAGTAAAAGAGTAGCTCAAGAGTTGGTGGTGGGTGGTGATGACTAGCTGTCTTCCCTCTAGTCTTACACTGCTAAATTAGGGACGGCTAGCGCAGATAGCCCTCGTGTAGCTTTGCGCGAAATTCAAAACAAACAAACCTTCACTCTTACCTTTATATAGCCACCAACGTACGTCTGGCTGATTACAACATACAACCAGTTAAAATCATTATCACTTTTCGGTATATATAACCAACAAATATCATGGAAAAACAGATATTTTCCTAAGAATCTTCTGTAACCTTGCACATACTAAGAGTACTATACAACCATTAAGAAATTAAGAATATTATACAAACCCTTACAAACTAAGAGTATCCTACAATCTTGCACATAATGAGAATCTTCAATAACCCTGTAAATACCAATACAACTTTCTACATGGTAAATGTATTCTATAACCTGGCAAATACTGAGATTATTCTAGAAACCGTGTACATGGTAAGAGTATCCTACAACCTTTTATGTATCAAAAGTGAACTACGGGACTGTGTATACTAAAATTGTTCCTTTAACGCTATGCATACTCACAGTACCGTATAACTTTTTACATTCTCAGGATATTCTACAATTTTATACATAGTAAGATTATTCTGTAACCTGCACCTACCAAGAGTATTCTAAAACCTTGTACATAGTACGAGCATATAAGAATGTTCTGAATTTATAGATACATTCGGGGTGCTCTAGAATCCTGTATATAGTACATAACTATAAGAGTAGTATATACCCCTGTTACACACTCAGGGTATTCTACAACACTGTGTATACTCAAACTGTTCTATAACGCTGTACATACTATAAGAGTAGTATATACCCCTGTATACACTCAGGGTATTCTACAGACTTGTATGTACTAAAAGTATCATACAACCCTGTACGTACTAAGAATATTGTACAACAATGTGCATATTAATAGTATTCTAAACCTGTACATACTAAGAGGATTGTACAACAATGTGCATATTAATAGTATTCTAAACCTGTACATACTGAGAGTGTTGTACAACAATGTGCACATTAACAATATTCTAAACCTGTACATAGGAAGAGTATTCTACAACTAAAGTTGTGCTATATCGCTGTACATATCAAGAGTATTCTATATCGCTGTAGATACTAAGAGTACTGTACAACAATATGCACATTAACAGTATTATAAACCTGTACATAGGAAGAGTATTGTACACCAATGTGCATATTAACAGTATTCTAAACCTGTACATAGGAAGAGTATTGTACACCAATGTGCATATTAACAGTATTCTAAACCTGTACATAGGAAGAGTATTCTACAACAATGTGTATACTGAAGTTGTGCTATATCGCTGTAGATACTAAGAGTACTGTACAACAATATACATATTAATAGTATTATAAACTTGTACATAGGAAGAGTATTCTACAACAATGTGTATACTGAAGTTGTGCTATATCGCTGTAGATACTAAGAGTACTGTACAACAATATACATATTAACAGTTATATAAACTTGTACATAGGAAGAGTATTCTACAACAATGTGTATACTGAAGTTGTGCTATATCGCTGTAGATACATTAACAGTATTATAAACCTGTACATAGGAAGAGTATTCTACAACAATGTGTATACTGAAGTTGTGCTATATCGCTGTAGATACATTAACAGTATTATAAACCTGTACATAGGAAGAGTATTCTACAACAATGTGTATACTGAAGTTGTGCTATATCGCTGTAGATACATTAACAGTATTATAAACCTGTACATAGGAAGAGTATTCTACAACAATGTGTATACTGAAGTTGTGCTATATCGCTGTAGATACATTAACAGTATTATAAACCTGTACA